TGAGAGGAGAGGTGCATGAGGCAGTGAGTAAAATAAAAAGGGGGTAAAAGTAGCCAGGATTGAAGGGATCAAAACAGAAATGTTAAAAGCTGGCAGGGATATAGTTTTGGAGTGGTTGGTACCTATCAAGAAGTACCTAGGAACTGCAAGAGAGAGCATGCATAATTTTTTCATAAAGGAAATGGGGGTAAAACTGTAAAAATTATAAGGTAAAAAGCCTGCTGAATATACAAGGTAAAATGTATGGTAGAATTATTACTGAAAGAATTATGAATAAGATGGAAAGCAGGTTAACAGATCAACAAGGGGGCCTGAGAAAGGGTAGGGGAGGGGAGAAGTTTTTGCTGGATTTATAAATGGCATATGACAGAGTGGATAGGGAAGCAATGTGGCAAAGAGTTTTTTGAGAGAGTGAGGCTCAGGTTAGGGTATGTAGGATAGAGGGAAATTATTTTCTAGTAAAAGTAAGCCTTAGACAGGGATGTGTAATGTCACCATGGTTGTTTAACATATTTATTGATGGGGATGTAAAAGAAGTGAATGCTAGAGTGTTGGGGAGAGGTGTGGGATTAAAATGTATAAAATTTAATGCAAATTGGGAGTTATCACAGCTGCTTTTTGAGATGGTTGGTGGATGAATTTAGGAAGGTATGTAAAAGAAGGAAATTAAAAGTGAACATAGGTAAGAGCAAGGTGATGAGGGTAATAAATCTGGGTAATGGAGGACTGGATATGAAATTGGATGGAGGGAGTATGGACGAAGTAAATGTATACAGATATTTGGGAGTAGAACTGTCAGTGGATGGTTCTATGAAAGACAAGATGAACTGTAGAACTGACAAGGGTAAAAAGGTAGATGGTGCACTGAGACATCTAATGAGACACAGAATGCTATCCATGGAGGCAAATTTGGAGGAATATAAGAGTATAGTGACAGTAACACTTGTTATGGGTGTGAAGTATGGGTTGTGAATGTTTCATTGAGAAGGAGGCTGGAGGCAGTGGAGATGTCATGTCTGGGGGTAATGTGTTTGTAAATATTATACAGTGGTACCTTGGGATACGAACTTAATTCATTCCAGAAGGCTGTGCCGATACCGAACGAATTTGTTCCCGTAAGGAATAATGTGAATTAGATTAATCCATTTCAGACCCCCAAAAATACACTTGCAAAAACACTTACATAAATACACTTACATAATTGTTCGAGTTTTGAGCTGTTCGTATCCCGAGGTACCACTGTATAGAGAATTCATAGCTTGAAAATTAGGAAGTGCAGGTCACTAAAAGTATTATCCAGAGGGATGAAGAGTGGTTGCTGAAGTGGTTCAGAAATTTAGAGGATAAAGAAAACTAGTATGACCTTGAGGATGCATAAATCTGTAGTGGAGAGGAGGGATAGAGGTGTTCCTAGAAAAGATTGGAAGGAGAGGAGAAAGGTTTCGTATGAAGGGTTTGAACATTCAATTGGCATGGGTGAGCATGTTAGGAGTGAAGGCAAGTGGCTTTTATGACAATGTGCTGTTGGAGCTGTGAGCAAGGTAAAACTTATAAGGGATTCAGAGACACTAGTTAGCTGAACTTTGGTTCTGGAGGTGGGAAGTACAGTCAACCCTAGATATAATGGATTTTGATATAATGCACTACTTATACAATGGTCAAAATGTGCTGTGTAAATTGTGTACTTAACTCCTTTACTTTATTATTTATTGCAATATATCAGTTAAAAACAGAGTAGGGGAGTTAGTAGATGGGGAGAGGGAGGTATTAGGTAGATGGCGAGAATATTTTGAGGAACTTTCAAATGTTAAGGAAGAAAGGGAGGCGGTAATTTCATGCACTGGCCAGGGAGGTATACCATCTTTTAGGAGTGAAGAAGAGCAGACTGTAAGTGTGGTGGAGGTACGTGAGGCATTACGTAGAATGAAAGGGGGTAAAGCAGCTGGAACTGATGGGATCATGACAGAAATGTTAAAAGCAGGGGGGGATATAGTGTTGGAGTGGTTGGTACTTTTGTTTAATAAATGTATGAAAGAGGGGAAGGTACCTAGGGATTGGCGGAGAGCATGTATAGTCCCTTTATATAAAGGGGAAAGGGGACAAAAGAGATTGTAAAAATTATAGAGGAATAAGTTTACTGAGTATACCAGGAAAAGTATACGGTAGGGTTATATTGAAAGAATTAGAAGCAAGACAGAATGTAGAATTGCGGACGAACAAGGAGGTTTCAGAGTGGGTAGGGGATGTGTAGATCAAGTGTTTACATTGAAGCATATATGTGAACAGTATTTAGATAAAGGTAGGGAAGTTTTTATTGCATTTATGGATTTAGAAAAGGCATATGATAGAGTGGATAGAGGAGCAATGTGGCAGATGTTGCAAGTATATGGAATAGGTGTAAGTTACTAAATGCTGTAAAGAGCTTTTATGAGGATAGTGAGGCTCAGGTTAGGGTGTGTAGAAAAGAGGGAGAATACTTCCCGGTAAAAGTAGGTCTTAGACAGGGATGTGTAATGTCACCATGGTTGTTTAATATATTATAGATGGGGTTGTAAAAGAAGTAAATGCTAGGGTGTTCGGGAGAGGGGTGGGATTAAATTATGGGGAATCAAATTCAAAATGGGAATTGACACAGTTACTTTTTGCTGATGATACTGTGCTTATGGGAGATTCTAAAGAAAAATTGCAAAGGTTAGTGGATGAGTTTGAGAATGTGTGTAATGGTAGAAAGTTGAAAGTGAACATAGAAAAGAGTAAGGTGATGAGGGTATCAAATGATTTAGATAAAGAAAAATTGGATATCAAATTGGGGAGGAGGAGTATGGAAGAAGTGAATGTTTTCAGATACTTGGGAGTTGACGTGTCGGCGGATGGATTTATGAAGGATGAGGTTAATCATAGAATTGATGAGGGAAAAAAGGGTGAGTGGTGCGTTGAGGTATATGTGGAGTCAAAAAACGTTATCTATGGAGGCAAAGAAGGGAATGTATGAAAGTATAGTAGTACCAACACTCTAATATGGATGTGAAGCTTGGGTGGTAAATGCAGCAGCGAGGAGACGGTTGGAGGCAGTGGAGATGTCCTGTCTAAGGGCAATGTGTGGTGTAAATATTATGCAAAAAATTCGGAGTGTGGAAATTAGGAGAAGGTGTGGAGTTAATAAAAGCATTAGTCAGAGGGCAGAAGAGGGTTGTTGAGGTGGTTTGGTCATTTAGAGAGAATGGATCAAAGTAGAATGACATGGAAAGCATATAAATCTATAGGGAAGAAAGAGGGTAGGGGTCGTCCTCGAAAGGGTTGGAAAGAGGGGGTAAAGGAGGTTTTGTGGGTGAGGGGCTTGGACTTCCAGCAAGCGTGCATGAGCGTGTTAGATAGGAGTGAATGGAGACGAATGATACTTGGGACCTGACGATCTGTTGGAGTGTGAGCAGGGTAATATTTAGTGAAGGGATTCAGGGAAACCGGTTATTTTCATATAGTCGGACTTGAGTCCTGGAAATGGGAAGTACAATGCCTGCACTTTAAAGGAGGGGTTTGGGATATTGGCAGTTTGGAGGGATATGTTGTGTATCTCTATACGTATATGCTTCTAAACTGTTATATTCTGAGCACCTCTGCAAAAGCAGTGATAATGTGTGAGTGTGGTGAAAGTGTTGAATGATGATGAAAGTATTTTCTTTTTGGGGATTTTCTTTCTTTTTTTTTGGGTCACCCTGCCTCGGTGGGAGACGACCGACTTGTTGAAAAAAAAAAAAAAAAAAATATCTGTAAACTGTGTGTCTACCTGGAGGGTATTCCAGGGATCAACGCCCCCGTGGCCTGGTCCACAACCAGACCTCCCGGCGGATCAGGGCCTCATCAACCAAGCTGTTACTGCTGGCTGCACATAATCCAACATACGAACCACAGCCCGGCTGATCCAGCACCGACTCTAAGTATCCGTCCAACTCCCTCTTGAAGGCAGCCAGGGGCCTATTGGTATTTCCCCTTATGCATGGTGGGAGGCTGTTGAACAGTCTTGGGCCCCAGATACAGTGGACCCCCAACTTACGATATTAATTCATTCCAGAAGTCTGTTCGGGTGCCGTTACCGAACGAATTTGTTCCCATAAGGAATATTGTAAATTAGATTAGTCCGTTTCAGGCCCCCAAAAATACACGTACAAAAGCACTTACAAAAATACACTTACATAATTGTTCGAGTTGGGAGCTGATCGTAAGGTGGGGGTCCACTGTACTTATTGTGTTTTCTCTTAGTGTACCAATGGCGCCCCTACTTTTCATTGGGGGTATTTTGCACCGCCTGCCCAATCCTTTACTTTCGTAGGGAGTGATTTCTGTGTGCAGATTCGAGACCATTCCTTCTAGGATTTTCCAAGTGTAGATTATGATATACAGTATCTCTCTCGCTTGTATAGTGGTACAATAGGTATAGAATAATTTAAGTGTTTTTTAACATCATTATGATTTAACGACACTCTGACAATCTCCTCAATTAGTCTGTTATATCGAGAGTTTACTGTATATGCCTGCACTCTGAAGGAGGGGTGGGGATACTGCAGCTTGAAGGGGCATCTGAGCTGTAATGTCGGCACACCTCTGGCAAGACAGTGAAAGTGAATGATGGTGAGTGGTTTTTCTTTTTCTTTTTCCCACCTTTGTGGGAGACAATCAGTGTGTTAAAAAGAAGAAGAAAAAAAAAAAAGCAATCAGGCAGACATAGTAAAAATAAGAATGACAGCAGCCTTGATAAGACTCAATAAAGCTCACCCAACACAAAAGGCTTAACTTAGTGTGGAGATACTCTTCAGAGCATTATCAGCTACTCTTACACTTTACTTAATATTACTGGTACAAAGATTTAATCTATGTTGTGCTACATATACATATGCACAGATTAGTTAGCCATAGTATTGCTCAATTTGTTATGTATCATTTCTCTATGCTCTGTATAATGTAAAAACCTCAAATTAGAGTTCTGGCCAAAAACGTGTACGTACCAAAAAGACGTAAGAGATGGGTGTGACCATAGATAATGGATGGCGGAGGAGGATCATGATGAGATTCAGGAAGCAAAGACCAGTCTTGCAGTTGTGGTGGGATACCTCGATAAAGCGATGTGCTAATGTTGGTTCCAGCACTTCCACTCACTCCAGCTGTGCTGGTGCCAGACGTAACAGTTGTAGGAGTGCTACGTCCAGATTCACTACAATGAAAAATTAAATTAAAGATCCCTTTAAATAGTATTATACTGTACATGAAAACACTGATATAAATAAATAAGCTTTTATTACTGTATTTGTGAGCATGAACAACATCAATATGATAGCTAATTAGTAGGAAGGATCAGCTGTAGATAAGGAGGAATTTCAAAAACTCAGTGAGTTATACATGGGTATGTATTTTATTGAAAAGTAAAAAAGGGCCAAGACATCAGATACTGAAACCTTCCTTTTCATTTGACACTTTGTAAATCAGTCAAGGAATTATGTTTATTTCTAGTTTGGTATGACTTCTATAGTAGTGTTTCAGGAATGGGAGAGGCAAATACTAATGAAAATTGAAACTAACTGAACTGAGAGCAAACTATTTCACAACAATGAAAATCAGTGTGTGGCGAGTCATCAGAACTATCCTGCAACTCATCACTGCTGGTTAGATAAGTCACATGAATTGAAAGAAATTCCTCCTAATTTATAGTTTCTACTTTAATAAAAATAATATAAGCTCTTCAGTTTCCCCACCAGCAGGTTGATTCAAAGAAAACACATTCACCATCACTCTCCCTAAATGGAAATTATCAGTTTCTCCACTTATATGTACAATGAACACTTGCAGTGCATAGCCACCTTCAATTATTTTCAGCAAATAACAAGAAATAAGTGAGAGCAAGTGTATATACATCCAAAAACTGACCTGCAAGATGGAAAATGATCACATCCACTTTTTTTTAGGAAGTGATCAACCGAGATGAATCAGAAGCACAAAAGCTGGTTTGTCTGATTATAGCTCTTCGAGTTCAATGGGATTTTAGCCTAAGAGCAGTGTATATTGAAATGTTCCAGTAACAGTGCTTCCTTTTTTGCATGCACTGTTTATAATATACCATAATACTGATACCATTTAACCAAAACAAACTAAAAAATATGTCAACCAATTAAAAAAAAAAAAACAAGTCCTGGAAAATACTAAAAAGAAATTTGTTTGAAAAATTGTACATTTCATACAAGTCAACACCAGACAGATTTTACTCACTCTGTACTACATACTCAGAACTACTAAAATTTAACATTGACATCCAGTACATATCTAAGAAAACATCCAAGTGGTGGGTATTCTTTCAGAAATATATTACCACGTATGGTACCTCAAACAGCATTACTCAATCAGTACTACTCAGTACTCTTTAATCTATCCTTACCCTTGATACAATGAGTGGGGATCTACAACAGCAAATACCCAAAAAGCCATCATAACTTAACACACACCACTATTCAAAAGTTTAACTTTATTCAGCAGGCAATACATCTGCACAAACACACATTAACCCAGTTCTAAAAATTTTCTTGGAAAGTAGGAACAGAATGAAGAAACAATACAATAAACAAACATCTAAATGATATCCCACGTTTGATTCAAACTGGCCTAAAACTCCCGGCAAATAAAAGGCTAAAAAATATGGAATTTTCTATGACAATTTGATGTAAATTTACAGATTGAGTATGTAAGCTTTTCCAGATTCCAAAAGCATTCATGCTTGTGCATTTATTGTCACACTATATACTGTATTACCCCCAGTACTTAGTACTATAAATAAAACTGTCAATACACTTTTGTATTTCTTATATGTTCATATTTACATTGCTGTTACTTAAAAATAATTGCAACCCCCAATCCTAGTGTGTCTCTCAGTGCTGCAAAATATTTGAAAAATAAAAAAAAATATTATCGTTTCTTATGTAATGATAGAGAATCTTTTCCCGATGTAACGACACCAAAAGTACGAAATTTGATGGAAAACTTACGGAATTACGCTATCGCGAAGTCGGCGATATTTATGCATCGGAGATTTTGTCCGATTTGAGCTCTATTTTCGGCAAATTCCATTGTTCCATTCGACCAAACCCACAGCTATTTCTTTAAAACTCCATTTGTTCTATCAACTGAGTACAAGAAACCGCCCATTTACCAATTTCAATTACCCAATAAAGTGATCAGAAATTGGCAATTTGGCCAATTTTGTGCAAATTAAAAAAGATGCCAATTTCAAAATAGGGTCCAGAATGAACAATGCAGATATTCCTAGCACTAAAATAACATTTCTCTGTTCATCAGTCACATCTCCAGGCCACTCTTATATTACTCTGTCTATTTTTAATTTTTTTTCACACAAAAAACTGAAGATTTACTATTATGCAGACTACTGCATTATTGAAATAATTGTATAAATAATGTCAACCCATTTGTGACTGCAAATTAGAATGGCTAGTTGGATATTTATTGGAGAGTAATGTCATTTGTTTACTCTTGAATGTTGGGAAAATCAAACATTTCCGCTACTTTGAGCTCCATTTCAAGGTCCTTTTCATGGTGAAACAAATCAAAATCATCTCCATTTCTATAATATGCCTTCCATTCTATCAAATGAGACCAAGAAAACGAGAATACAACCATAAATACTATACGAAAATACACCTCAAAGGCAGCATTTTAATCCAAAAACACGGAGTTTTTTTTTTCTCATTATGCACTGCTTGCTGCAGGATTTTTTTTATACTGTGCACACTCACCACACAGACCCATTCTCTCACATGTGGGCCAACCATCTTTCTCCTGCTTGATTTGAAGCCGCTAGAATTGTGAGTATATATACGTCAAACACAATGGCTCGTAAGACGTATATATGACCGAAACAGTCAAAGGGTTAAATAAATTTACCTAGTTTTGTTACCTAATTTTGTAGAAATTATCTGTACTGTGAAATTAAAATGTATGTTTGTTTCTGTCAAGTTATATTAGTACAGTAAGTTACTACAGGTTGACCATCATTAATCCAGCACCATCGGGACCTGTAGGGTGCCGGATTAGTGATTTTGCTAGATTATAGAGTGGTTGGGATAGAATACACTTAACTCAACAGCGATATTTACGCATCAGCGACTTCACCTACTTTACGCCCTATTTTTGGCCCATTCCAAACGTAGATCTACGTTATCACTAGTGCTCCAAACATAGATAAACGTTTTATTTTCCTGCTCATATTTGGCACAATTGGCCTGAGATGCCTGGTCAGCACAGAATGGGTCTTAACACTTGGTGTATGCACCATTAAAAAAATCTGGGACCACTTAGTACCGAATGGGAGCACCAGTTCAACTGAGCACCACCTAAAGTAAACAGTGTGGCAAACACCAGGGAGTCACTGATGTTATGTCATATTAACACTCCCCTTTTAAGAGAAAAGTGATGTTAACCCCAAGTTTAGTGGCTTTGAGGTGAATGTGGCCACAAGTGGTTGAGGAAATATTAAAAGCATCAATAATAACACATGTGCAACATCCTTTCAATTTTGGTACCACTGGTAGTGTCATCCTGCCAGAATGTCCTAAAACCTATGCCCTACGTAAAGAGAAACAATTCTGGAATGTGTAATACGTGTTCAGCAGGCTGGCTGGCCTGCTGGTTGGCTGGCTGGCTGGCTGGCCGGCTGGCTGGCTAATTGGCTGTCTCAATCTCCATCTGTCTGTCTGTATCTATCTCTATCTCTTTCTCTGTCTGTTTCTGTCTGTCTCTTTCTCATAGGTACACATAAATACAATTATATATATAGTGTAAATTACCTAGGATAACCCAAAAAATCCAGACAAAGTACTATACTGTACTTGTAGATATAATGCACCATATGCATGACTGGCATGTAACACGCATTTTCACTTGTTCAGGAATCAGACATGACTACTCTGCATCGTATGTAATACTTGTTGGTTCACGAGTCCCTCTCTCTGAGACAGAGAGAGAGACAAGCAGAGACAAAAAGACAGATATGCAGACAGAGATAAGCAGAGAACCAAACAGACAGACATGTTTATGTATAACAGTGAAAACAAATAAAGCCAGGGCAGTGCACGATCATCAAATGTCACTCCACTGCTGCACTGTCAGCAGTGAAGTGACACTCGTCTTACACAATGCTTCAAGGAGTTTCATTCTCCCGCATGTCCAAAAGATTGCTGGGACTTATAAATACTATGTATATATTTCTAGATAATAGTATGTGACTAAGGTAGGTAAAAATGTTCACCTGTCACTGTGTTTGTGACTTTGAGCACTATTTCACTACCTAATACATGTATTACAGCCTCTCCTCACTTAACATTCCGTTCCTAAGACCACGTCGGTAAACGTATTCGTCGCTAAGTGAGGAGCGTATTATAATGGTAGTGGGTTTGTGTCAACCATCTTTGATATTGTTTTAATGTCACCTTTGCATCATTTATAACATTTCTGGTATATTTTTAAATACAGCAGGGCCCCGCTTTACGGCGTTTCACTTTACGGCGTTCCGCTAATACGGTCATTTCAAATTATGACCAAAACTCGCTATACGGCTCCCCCCACCTGACTTTCTAATACGGTCACCGCGCCCCACCTTGTTTGTTTACATTCTTCGTGAGCTCAGTAAGCACTAAGTCTCTCCATTTTGTCTGGAAACTCCAAAATTTCAAATGTTTTTAAAAGTTATTTCATATTTCATATATTTTTTTTTTTTTTTTTTTCAACAAGTCGGCCGTCTCCCACCGAGGCAGGGTGATAATTATACTTATGTATACCTGTACTTAAATAAACTTACATACTGTGCTGGCGTGCAGGTACACATTAAAATCAGTAAGAGTGTCTTTTGTCTCCAGACGTCATATTAGTAATGATAATAATAATCATCGAGTCTCATTTAAATGTCGTATATTACGTTAATATACACATTTTCATTAATCCATCTATGATATTTTTTCAAAATTATATAATAAACATGATGCATAGCATATAAATAAGATAAATACACCCCACAGTAGAATAAATAAACATAAATGTGAGATGTGGTAGCAGACGACTTGCACAAGTGACGCCATATTAGAAATGATAATAATAATAATAATAATCACCGAGTCTCATTAACCCTTTTAGGGTCCGTCCCATAGATCTACTGCTTTACGTTCAGGGTCCAAACCGTAGATCTACGCCATGAGCTCAGCTCACTCTGATAAACTGTGAGTGGTACATTTGGGCCTAGATATGAGAGAATACATCTATGTGGTATGTGTGCACCACATAAAACAGATCCTGCAGCACACTGTGTATAATGAGAGGAAAAAAATGAAATCATGATTTTTCGATTAAAACAGCAACTTTGCAGTGTTTTTTCGTATGTTTTTTATAGTTGTATTTGCGATTTCTTGGTCTCATTTGATAGAATGGAAGACATATTACAGAAATAGTGATGATTTTGATTGGTTTTAGCACTGGAAATGGCTTGAAACTGAGCTCAAAGTAGCAGAAATGTTAAATTTTTGCCGATATTCAAGAGTAAACAAACGACCTCACACGTCTAATACACGTCAGCTGGTGGGTCTAATATACATTCACAAATATGGTGATGATATTTATACAATTATTACAGTATTGCATAACAGTAAATCTTCTATTTTTTGGTGTGAATAAAAATTCATTATGTGAATAAAAAATCAAAATGGAATTTATTTGTAAAGCCTCAAAACATAACTAATGAACAGAGGAAATGTTAGTTTAGTGCCAGGAATGCCTACATTGTTCATTCTGGACCCTATTTTGAAATTGGAATATTTTGAACTTTGTGTTAAATTGGCCAAATTAACAATTTCCGATCACTTTATTTTGTAGTTGAAACAGTTGACTTGGCGATTTCTTGTGCTCAATCAATAGAATAGAAGTAATACTAGTGAAATAGCTAAGAATTTGGTTGATTGGAATAATGCAATTGGCCTAAAATGGGAGTCAAAGTCGGCAAAATCGCCGATTCGTAAATATCGCTGACACATCAAAATTCGCGAGAGCATAATTTCGTCAATTTTCCACCAAATTTCGTACTTTTTGTTTTATTACCTTCACAAAAAGATTCTCTACGATTTCATAAGAAAAAATAACAATTTTTTTTTTTTAAAATTCTTGGACACTGGTGCGTGACTCCAGATTTGGGCCTTGGACCCTGAAAGGGTTAAATGTCGTATATTACATTAATATACACATTTTCATTAATCCATCCATGATATTTTTTTCAAAATTATATAATAAACACGATACATAACATAAAAAGATGATAAATACACCCCACAATAGAATAAATAAACATAAATATGAGATATGGTAGCCAGATAACTTGTACAAGTGACGCCAAGAATAACATTTTCTCTAATCTAACATAAGAGAAAATATGTTACTGTGGGTAACTGTAGAAAATTATTCCTTTCGTATGTAAGTTTATTCAGGTATACACAAATACAGTTACATAGATTATCATACATAACAACATATGTGTAGAGAACCTAGGATAACCCACAAAAGTCAGAGTGACTTATTTTCATTACCTTCACTCAGAGCATCATTTCTTCTCAAAATGATGTTACATGAGAATGGGAGTGTTCTTCTTTATTTATTCTACCGTATCAATGTAGAGACAACCTGTACACAATGTAACTTGTACACAAACCAGACGTGTACACTTCGTTTACAAAACTTACCTTCGCCTGGTTTGTTTACGTAACTCTGCGCCTGTCCTCTCTCATGCACTCATTCTTTCTCTCTCTCATTTATTCGTTTTATCTCATTTACTTACTCCTGACCCTACATTAAGACTACAAATATTTTAAGGTAAGTAATGAGTGAACTGTATATACATTTTATTGCTCTGGGATGCTTAAATATCATAGAATAGTATGTGTGGGTGGGTTGGCCTGGTATGGTAGCCCGGCTGACTACCATACATACCACACTTGATTTTTTACAATAAATACTACTCATCTCACCCTATATTTTAAGGTAAGTAATGAGTGAACTGTATATACATTTTATCGCTCTGGGATGCCTAAATATCATAGAATAGTATGTGTGGGTGGGTTGGCCTGGTATGGTAGCCTGGCTGACTACCATACCTACCACACTTGATTTCTTACAATAAATACTACTTGTCTCACCCTAGATTAAGACTATAAATATTTTAAGGTAAGTAATGAGTGCACTATGTGTGTATTGTACTTTTTTATTGTTTTTTGATGCCTGGTTCTATTGCTAACTTAATATATGTTAGTGTAAACTTGTTATCTAATGTTTGTATGCATTTATAAGTGGAAAAAAAGGGTGTTCCACTTTACGGCGGTTTCCGCTTTACGGCAGTAGCCTGGAACCTAACCTGCCGTATAAGTGGGGCCCTGCTGTATTTATACAGTAGTGTACTGTATATTGTTATACACAGAATAGAGAAAATCAGCTCTAATATACATGATTTAGGTATGCATACTGGCCAGAGAGCCCTTCGTAAGTCTGAGTAGTCGGTAAACGAGTACATCGCTAAGTGAGGAGAGGCTGTAGTGTCAGAGCAAAGACTGGCTATGAAATCACAAGAACTACTGCAAATTGTAATTGTCACAACATAAAAATTGTATGAATTTAAAAAAAATTGAGGAAAAAAGGCAAGCGGCAGTGCTTCTTGTTGCCGTCAGGTGAGCAACAAGCGCTAACTTTGCCACCATATATCTCTTTAAGTACTGACTAATTCTTTTTTAGATTATTACATGTAAAATAATGTCCTCTTCATTTAATTTTTTTTTTTTTTTTCAAAATGTTCAGAGAGCTGGGCGAGAGAATGTAGATCTACATTTGGACAGTTAAGAGGTTGAAATCTACGAAACTCATAGCTATTTCACTAGTATTCCTTCTATTCTGCTGACCGAGTACAAGAAACTGCCAATTTACCTATTTCAACTACCCAATAAAGTGGTCAGAAATCGGTAATTTGGGCAATATCACACAAATTTCAAGAGATGCCAATTTTAAAAAAGGGTCAAGAATAAACAATGCAGACATTCCTAGCATTAAAGTAACATTTTCTCTCTTCATTAGTCATCTCCAAGCCCCTCTTACATTACGTTTGCTTTCCATTTTGAATTTTTATTCACACAAAAAATAGAAGATTTACTGTTATGTAGACTACTGTATTATTGTAATAATTGTATAAATAATGTCAAGCCATTCGTGACTGCGTATTAGACTGGTCAGTTGGACACATATTGGACAGTTTACCTGGAGTTTACGTGGAGAGAGTTCCGGGGGTCAACGCCCCCGCGGCCCGGTCTGTGACCAGGCCTCCTGGTGGATCAGAGCCTGATCAACCAGGCTGTTGCTGCTGGCTGCACGCAAACCAACGTACGAGCCACAGCCCGGCTGATCCGGAACTGACTTTAGGTGCCTGTCCAGTGCCAGCTTGAAGACTGCCAGGGGTCTGTTGGTAATCCCCCTTATGTGTGCTGGGAGGCAGTTGAACAGTCTCGGGCCCCTGACACTTATTGTATGGTCTCTTAACGTGCTAGTGACACCCCTGCTTTTCATTGGGGGGATGGTGCATCGTCTGCCAAGTCTTTTGCTTTCGTAGTGAGTGATTTTCGTGTGCAAGTTCGGTACTAGTCCCTCTAGGATTTTCCAGGTGTATATAATCACGTATCTCTCCCTCCTGCGTTCCAGGGAATACACGTTAACTCTTGAACATCGGCGAAAATCGAACATTTCCGCTACTTTGAGCTCAATTTCAAGGTACTTTCTGTCATGAAACTAATTAAAATCATATCCATTTCTGCAATATATCTTTCATTCTATCAAATGAGACCAAAAAAATGAGAATACAACCATAAAAACCATATAAAAATACACCGCAAATCGCTGTTTAACACCATAAACACGGTCGCAGTTTTTTCTCATTATGCACTGTGTTGCAGGATTTTTCTTATATAGTCGACACTTACCACAAAGACCTATTCTCTCATATGTAGGCCCAAATTTACCAGTCACAGATTATCTGAGTGAGCTGAGCTTATGGCGACCAACGGTGGCTTCAAAGCCACCTTATCATTTATGGACAATGTACGGTCTATGTGCTTTACACAAAATGAAGCATTTCTTTTATTCATTGGAACCATAACTAGGGCTAAAAGTGAGCAGGTTATAACAATAAATCAAAAAAAGAAATTGGAATGAGTTATGCCGCAAGTAGCTGCAGGTTGGTGTGGCAACCCTGGAAATTTGAAATTATGCTAGCCGAAATTAGTGCTAGAATACTGATGGAACCAGATTACCGATTGCCAGATTAGTGATGGCCGACCTGTACTAGTATGGTAATAAAATTTTGTAAAGGGTTTGGTATTGTTAGGAACGTTACACTAATTTACCCATACGTTTTTCACATCAAGTAACACAATTTTGTTACATGCCGATTCTCAGGTATGTAACATCCATGATATGAGGTTTACTGTGCCTTATTATTTCCCATTTTTCTTAATGAGTAAAAATGCAGAAAGATAAGACACCTACCATGCCATATTGGTTGCTGCACTCTTTTCACGTTCCACTACAGTATTTGAATCCCCTGATGGAGGTCTCTTTGATCTTAACAGGCGATGACCAATGGAGTCTGCAACTACAAAGGTTTAAGTTGAACACAATTTGGAGAAAATTACTAATTAATAGGAAGTGATACCTTTATTACAAAAAATAAAATATTGAACAGTTTCTCAACAGTTTTCACAGTACAATCAAACCCCAATTCATATCAACCCCTCTTACACCCTTCCTCCCTTATGACTATTTTTACCTGGCAAAGTAACCTCCTAAAAACAAAGCATTTAAGAATGAAAACAGTTCCCAGAAAGGAGGCCCATTTATAACATTGAGCCTACGGGTAACAAGAGTCCAACTTATGACAGAAAGATTAAAATCAATTCATTATACATATGTAATTATTTCCAACACCATTATCAATAATTTCATAAACACATTGTAAGAGTTTGTGCAAATGTGATGATTGCAAACAAATTGTCTCCTTGAAAAGTTCACAGAACCTCTGATGCTCATGTTCTAAAATACCTGGGAGACAATATGCTGATTTTTCTATGCACACAGTTGATAAGTTCTTGAGGGAAGAATTTTATTAATATTTGACTCATGCACATACAATATACATTACTGGCACAACAATTCATTTAGACTTAAGTGAACATGTCTGCTTCTCTCACCTTTATTTTTCTCCTCCTCCTTTTGGGAAGCTTCCACTTTTGCCTTTGAATCTTCCGTATCACCTTCATCCTTGTGCACTGACGTGTTCTCTGAAGCATCTTTTTCATCAACTAACATTGGTTCGTATCCATCAAGTTCTCTGTTGCATGAAAGAAAATTATCAGAATATTTAGTCAACCTCTAAAATAGCAAAACAAATAATTAGGCAACCAATTAGCTAATTCTTTAATTGATACAAATTATTTTTTTTGCACATTCCCAAATATTAAATCATATCTAAACACAAATGTTCAATAAACACTGATCAGTTGTACAGAAAAGAGCAATTAAACAAAGCAAATGAAACAGAAGGTAAGTGTGATACAATAAACTTCGTCATCACACAGATGTCCACTTCAGAACAGTAAAAGCCAATCTACTTCCCCCATTAACTCCCTTCATTGTTGGGACCCCAAAAATTAAAAGTGCCGACAATGTCAGGAATTTAAAAAACAAAATTCTTCTGAAATGGCAAAGAATCTTTTTCTGAAAATAAAATTTGATGTATATTTTGGTTATAGTAAATTGAGGTTTGTCATAAAATGCTTAAAACTGTACTGAATCGTTGAAATATGCATTAAAATGACGTTTTAGCACGTTCTTCTGTATTATTAAATATTTCGCATATTTTTAAAAAATCATATGAAAAGTCCATAATAATATAAATTACGATCGAGTATTTCATACAGAATTACTCGGGTACAAAGTTGGCAGTCTCAGCAAAATTTACATAATCAGTGATTTTGTCCAATTTGAGACCTATTTGAACCGTAGTTCTACAGGTTTGCGGTCTGTCCATGCCATAGTTCTACGGCATAAGCTCAGTTCACTCAGATAAGCAACAAGCACTAAATTTGGGCCTAGATGTGTGAGAATGGGTCAGTGCAATAAGTGTGCACCATATAAAAATAATTCTGTCCCATGCAGTGCATAATGGGAAAAAACTGCGACTGTGTTTTTGGTTTAAAATAGCAACTTTATGGTGTATTTTCAGATGGTTCTTTATGGTTGCATACTTAGTTTCTTGGTCTCATGTGATGGAATGGAAGATACAGCACAGAAATAGAGAAATTTGATTAGTTTCAGGACTGAAAGTAGCTTGAAATCGAGTTCGAATTAGTGGGAATGTTCAATTTTTGCTGATGTTCCAGTGTGTATAAATCACCTCACTCATCCAATACGAATCCAACTGGTCAGTTTAATATATGTTCATGAATGTGCTGACATTCATTAACAATTGTTACAACACTGCATGACAATAAATCTATTTTTTTGTGTAAATAAATAATCAAAATGGAATTTGTGTGTAAAGCCTGGGAACATAACTAATGAACAGAAGAAATGTTATTTTAATGCCAGGAATGCCTGCATTGTTTATTCTGGATCCTATTTTGAAATTGGCATACAGTGGACCCCCGCATAACGCTATTAATCCGTTCCTGAGAGCTCAATGTTATGCAAAATTATCATTATGCAAATTAATTTTCCCCATAAGAAATAATGGAAATCAAATCAATCCGTGCAAGACACCCAAAAGTATGAAAAAAAAAAATTTTACCACATGAAATATTAATTTTAATACACACAAACTTAAGAAAACATGCACAGTTACATGACACTTACCTTTATTGAAGATGTGGTGATGATTGATGGGATGGGAGGAGGGGAGACTGGATGGTTTTAGTGTTTAGAAGGGGAATCCCCTTCCATTAGGACTTGAGGTGTCAAGTCCTTTTCCGGGGTTGCTTCCCTTCTTCTTTTAATGCCACTAGGACCAGCTTCAGAGTCACTGGACTTCTGTCGCACAACATATCTGTCCATAGTGGCCTGTACCTCTCGTTCCTTTATGACTTTCCTAAAGTGTTTCACAACAGTGTCAGTGTAATAGTCACCAGCACGGCTTGCAATAGCTGTCTGAGAGTGATTTTCATCCATGAAGGTTTGCACTTCAAGCCACTTTGCACAGATTTCCTTAATCTTTGAAGTAGGCAACTTCTTCAATTTCTCTATCCCCTCCTCCAAAGCAGTTTCCTCAGGTCTGGCCTCTTGCTGTTGAAGTTGATCTAGCAGCTCATCAGTGATTAGTTCTTCATTGTCCTCCTCCACCAACTCTTCCACATCCTCCCCACTAACCTCCAACCCCAAGGACTTCCCCAATGCCACAATTGATTCCTCAACTGGCATAGGATTCTCAGGGTTAGCCTCAAATCCTTCAAAATCCCTTTGGTCTACACATTCTGGCCAAAGTTTCTTCCAAGCAGAGTTCAAGGTCCTCTTAGTCACTCCCTCTCAAGCCTTACCTATAAGGTTTACACAATTGAGGATATTAAAGTGCTCTCTGCAAAACTCTCTTAGAGTCAATTGAGTTTCTGAGGTCACTACAAAGCACCTTTCAAACACAGCTTTTGTGTACAGTTTTTTGAAGTTTGCAATAACCTGCTGGTCCATGGGCTGCAGGAGAGGAGTGGTATTAGGAGGCAAAAACTTCACCTTAATGAAGCTCATGTTCCCACAAAGTCGCTCTGCCAAGTCTGTAGGATGACCAGAGGCATTGTCTAACACCAGGAGGCACTTAAGGTCTAATTTCTTTTCAGTTAGGTAATTTTTCACAGTGGGGGCAAATGCTTGGTGCAACCAGTCATAGAAAAAGTCCCTAGTGACCCATGCCTTTCTGTTTGCCCTCCACAACACACACAAATTAGCCTTGAGGATATTCTTTTGCCTGAACGCTCTGGGAGTTTCAGAGTGATACACTAATAAAGGCTTCACTTTGCAATCATCACTAGCATTGGCACACATGAGAAGAGTAAGCCTGTCTTTCATAGGCTTACGTCCTGGGAGTGCCTTTTCCTCCTGAGTAATGTAGGTCCTGCTTGACATTTTCTTCCAAAACAGGCCTGTTTCGTCACAATTAAACACTTGTTCAGGTTTCAGTCCTTCACTGTCTATGTACTCCTGGAATTCCTGCACATATTTTTCAGCTGCTTTTTGGTCCAAACTGGCAGCCTCACCATGCCTTATCACACTATGTATGCCACTACGCCTCTTAAATCTCTCAAACCAACCTTTGCTGGCCTTAAATTTACTCGCATCACCACTAGTTGCAGGCATTTTTCTAATTAAATCCTAGTGCAACTTCCTAGCCTTTTCACTTAAGATCACTTGAAAGATGCTATCGCCTGCTATCTGTTTTTCGTTTATCCACACCAATAACAGTCTCTCAACATCTTCTATCACTTGCGATCTCTGTTTCGAAAGCACAGTTAAACCTTTGGCAAGAACAGCTTCCTTGATTGCCGTTCTCTTGGACACAATAGAAGCGATGGTTGATTGGGGTTTTGTGTACAACCTGGCCAGCTCGGAGACACGCACTCCACTTTCATACTTAGCAATGATCTCTTTCTTCACCTCCATAGTAATTCTCACCCTTATTCCTGTAGGGTTGGCACTAGAAGCTTTCTTGGGGCCCATGGTCACTTACTTTTCAGGTGAAATCACTATAAAAAGGCTGTAATACAAAATGTTCCGACTGTATGCTTGAATGTTACCGTGGAGGCTGGCTTGTAAACAATGCCACTGGCAGAACAAGTGAGGCTGGCTCAGACCGCATGGACGTGTCTCGGACGAATCGCGTTGAGCGAATTTTTTAGCACTATGCGAGGCATAGTGCTAAAAAATCCGCATAGCGATAAAATGTATCGCTATGCGGATTTAACACTATGGGATGCCAACGTTATGCGGGGGTCCACTGTATTTTGAAATTTGTGTGAAATTGGCCATATTACCAATTTTTGATCACTTACTGGGTAGTTGAAATAGTTGATTTGGGCAGTTTCTTGTGCTCAGTCAATAAAATGGAAGACATACTAGAAAAATAGCTAATGTAATGGAACAAAGTAATTGGCCTAAAATAGGACTTGAAGAGGACAAAATCGCTGATGTGAAAATATTGCTGACACGGCAAAATTTGCGAAAGCGTAATTTGGTCAATTTTCCATCAAATTTTGTACTTTCGGTTTTATTACCTTCAGAAAGAGATTTTCTACAATTTCATAAGGAGAAAATAATTTTTCTTTTTTTTTTTTTTGAAAATTCTTAGATGTTGTGGACAAATTTCAGATCGGGGGGGGGGGATTAACAATGAAAGGGTTAAGCCAATTCCACTACTTAATTTGACTGAATTCTAAGCAACATATTTCACTAGCATGCCTTCCATTCTATTGATTTAGCAAATGAAACCACCCATTCAATTATCAAAACTACCCTATAAAGTGTACAGAATTTGGTAATTTGGCCAATTTTACAAAAAATTAAACAGATTCCAATTTAAAAACAGAGTCCAAAATAAACAATGTAGGCATTTCAGCAACTAAAGCAACATTTCTATTCATTAATCACATCCTCAATTTTGAATTCATCACCAAACAAAAAATTGAGACCCCTGATCTTTAACTCACCGTCTCGAAAAATTAAAAAAAAATTTTTTTTTATGAAATGATAGAGAATTTTTTCCAGATGGTAATGACACTAAAAGTACGAAATTTGATGGAAAACTTACGAAATTACGCTCTCACGAAGATAGTGATCTCTGCGATATTTACACATCTGCGATTTTGCCCACTTTGAGCCTTATTTTTGGTGAAATTCCATAGTGCCAGTCAACTAAAATCATAGCTATTCCACTAGAACTATATTTGTTCTATCAACTGAGTACAAGAAACCGCCTATTTACCAATTTCAACTACCCAATAAAGTGGTCAGAAATTGGCAATTTGGCCAATTTCACACAAATTTCAAAAGATGCCAGTTTCAAAACAGGGTCCAGAATAACATTTTCTCTGTTCATTAGTCACATCTCCAGGCCCCTCTTATATTACTCTTGCTTTCCATTTTGAATTTTTATTCTCTCACAAAAAAAAAGAGAGAGATTTACTGTTACGCAGACTACTGCATTATTATAATAATTGTATAAATAATGTCTTGAAACCAATCAAAATCATCTCCATTTCTGTAATATATCTTCCATTCTATCAAACAAGACCAAGAAAACGAGAATACTACCATAAATACCATACGAAAACACACCGTAAATTCACTGTTTTAAACCAAAAACGCGGTCGGAGTTTTTTTTTTTCATTATGCACTGCGTGCTGTAGGATTTTTTTTATACAGTGCACACTGACAGCGCAGACCCATTCTTTCATGTGTAGGCCTACCAGCTGTCTTCCACTGGATTCGTAGGAGCTAGAATTTTGGTATAGCATTATGGAACCGACACTGGCTCTCAAGCCATAATATTACGAGACCAACTGAAAGGGTTAAGGCATCCCAACAATTGGAGCAGGCGGAAATGAATGGTATAAAATGCCGACACATGGAAATATAAACACATATGCAGTTTAATGTGATCCTTTATTAACAACGTTTCGCCCACTGTGTGGGCGAAACGTTTTTCAAGTCACAAACAGATCTGTTTGTGACTTGAAAAAGCCCACTGTGTGGGCGAAACATTGTCAATAAAGGATCACATTAAACTGCATATGTGTTTATATCTCCAATTGGAGCAGGCCTAGTAAATTCTCATAAAACAGACCAGAGGGTAAGGGGTAAGGATGACCTTACTCATTCTCAGAAAAATCCTCAAAAATCTAATATTTTTGCTACTTTGAGCCCCATTTCAAGCTACTTCAAGTCCTGAAACCAGCCAAATTTATCTCTACTTCAGTAGTATATCTTCATTCTATCAAATAATAACAATAAATAGCCAATACAACCCAACCTAGAAAACACTTCTATGTCACTATTTTTAACTAAACATAAGATCAAAGAATTTCTTTTACCATCAAGCACCGTGGGGGAGTAGGATATTTCTTATGCCATGCATACTCCCAGGTTATCCCAGGGACAGCTTATCCCAGGGAGCTGAACTCAAAATTAAATATCCATGCATGTTTTTGTTACTTTAAGTACATCATCCACTTTTTTAAGCTGTGTGTGGGAGGCCAGAGGAAATGGATGGTGAGGAGAAAGTCTTTTATATTATTCTAGCCTTAATCTTGACAGAATCAGAGGAAACTAGACTGTAGTTAATCCTTCTCAGCAGATAGGATCAATATAGACCATAAGATCATCTGCTGTCTACCTCTTGCAAGTGCTCTCATGTATACACCTACTCCCTAAACTGGCAGATTTGTGACCTAGCCAGAGTATAATGCAATTTTTTTTTAACATGCTGGCTGTCTCCCACCAAGGCAGTGATCCAAAAAAGTGCATATAATACAATAAGTATAGTGATTAATAATAACAATCTTTAACAGTTACCAAATTTTTAAAGCTCATTCTGCAAAAAAGTACATTCAATATTTTACTTGCTCACAAGAAAATATATTTATACATGTGAATGATAGCAGTAAATACCACATTCAGCAACAAAATATTACCACAGCTGAATACAATAAAAAGAAGCTTTTTCAATTACATTTTCTGCTAAGAAATATTTATATTTTAGCCTCCATACTTTATTAATTCTAATATTGTATATACTGTAAGCTTTTTAGTAGGATTCATTATCTGAAACACTTTAGCACATCCACTATGCTGTCTGGTTATGCTAGTCAGCAAACTATGACTATACAAGAGTTCAAATATACAAATCATCAGATAACAATATTTTCTGTTAACACATTGTGGCATATTTTCAATGTACACACTGTAAAAATCAGTTTACATGGTGGAGTACATGTAGGGAAAAATGTGGCATGAGCAACGGTCTTCCCTCTCTTCCTCAGGACAAGTCCACTCTCTTATGGTAAAGTCCTATGTAATGTACACACCCTCCCTCACCCAGTGCTTCGTTCATGCACATCCAATACCACACTCAATGAGTGTTAGTGAATCAACTTCTGATGTTTTCAGCATCCAATCTCGTCTCTAGAAAATGATAACAGCACCCAAGAGGAATGCGAGTGATCCTGGAGCTGAAAAGAATAAACATGAAATTCTTGGTGTTTTGGAGACAATAAAGATATTAGACAAGATTAAGAGTGGTGCACATGTGACGACTAGGAAACTGCTAAGTGAGGGCTTTGAAGATATATAGGGGGTACATGTGAATGAACTGTTAGAAGATAATGAAAAAATAAGTCCAGAGGAAATGTTAGCAGAGCTCAATACCTAGATACAAGGGAGGCAGATAAGAGCTAAGTGAGCAGTTCCATGTTACCTGGAGTATACCTGAGGGGGTTTCAGGGATCAATGGCCCTGCAGTCCAATCTGTGAACAGGCCTCACTGCTGCTAAACTAGAAGACTTTCTCATTAAATTGGACCCTGATAAATCTAAAACCACTATACTGAAACAGGGTCTAGATGAGATGATGATGCCTTACAGTCAGCTATATAAAGTACAGCAGGGTAAGAGAGACCAAAAGATTCATTAGAATTTCTCACCACTCCAGTACAACCATCAACATCAATGCTAAAGCCTTGACCATCTACCTCAGCCCAGCAGTGCCATAGTATCCCTCTCCACACCTATCAAAATCAGGTGTGGAGAAACCTATAATAATTTGGTCGATTTGTGGGTCTCATGAACATAACCCTATTTTTCCCATATCTTCTTCAGTTCCATTTACATATTTTGGTTGCACACTGTTTTCAAGAATGTAATAATTGTGTAACTGTGTTAACCAACAGTCTACTGCATAAAGATGTTTGTGAGATTGTAGTTTGTTCCAGCAATGGCACTATGACATTTCACTTCAAGAAGCAAACCAATTTTGGTAAACTTACCCTTTACTATATACTGGCTGTGCAGTTCTAAGACGTTCTGCTTGTCTACGCTCTTTGGCATATAAAAGAAGAGTTTCAATGTGGAAATCGAAACATATGCGAATACCGTCCATTACTTCCTTACATAGGTCCAATCTGCTAAAATTTAAATTAATATGAAGCCTAATATATCAACTTTTTTTTTTTTTTCAAATCCAATACATGCAAAGTTACATATCATTTTCATTTATTCACATGTTATAATTAAGAAGATACCAGCCAGTCTCAGGCTTCATTTACTTACGTAAGAAAACACTTGTCTTTCTCTTTAATTTCATTTCTTCTCTTTTCTTTTGTTCGGGCTAAATAACGGACAGCAAAAAATTTGACGTAGTTTTCTAATAAACTCAGAGCTGTCTTATCTGTTGGAAGGTCCAGCAGCTTGAATACAAAAAATTATAATTAATATTTAAAATCAATACGTATTCTGTTTTATATACAGCAGGGCCCCACTTATACGGCAGGTTATGTTCCAGGCTACCACCAGAAAGCGGACATCGCCGGAAAGCAGAACACCATTTTTTCCACTTATAAATGATATAAATGCCAGATAAGAAGTTTACACTAACATATGTTAAGTCAGAAATAGAATTAGGCATTAAAAAGCAGTAAAAAATAAAATATACACACAGTACACTCATTACTTACCTTAAAATATTTGTAGTCTTAATGTAGGGTGAGAGGTGAGAAATATTTATTGTAAGAGGTCAGGTGTGGTAGGTATAATAGTCAGGTGTGGTAGGTATGGCCACCACCACCCTCACATAATATACATTTAAAATGCCCTAGTGTGTTAAAATGCATACACATTACACTCAATCTTGAACTTAAAATATTTGAAGTCTTAATGTAGGGTGAGAGGTGAGTAAATGTGATAAAACGAATAAACGAGAAAGAGAGAGAATGAGTAAATGAGAGAGGACAGAGACACGGAGTCTATAAACAAGCGGACAAACTTGTCTGGTTATGGGTGATACACATTCATTTCCACGTTTGTGAAGCTTTTACCATAATACAAACACCTTACATTGTGTACAAATTGTCTCCATATTGGTACAGTAGAATAAATAAAGAGCAACACTCCCATTCTCACATCACACACCATTTTTAGAAGGAATGACACTCCGAGTGAATGCATACAAAAGGAAAAATTTTCTGCAGTTACCCCCAGTAATACTACTGTGTATGTAGTGAGTTCATTATATAATTTTTAAAAAATTTCATAGATGGATTAATGAAAATGTTTATATTAATGTAATATCCAACATTTAATGTGCCTCAGAGTGATTATTATTGTGTTTTACTATTATCATTATTAATAAGGCACTTCAAGAGTACCTGGAATTTACCTGGAGAGAGTTCCGGGGGTCAACGCCCCCGCGGCCCGGTCTGTGACCAGGCCTCCTGGTGGATCAGAGCCTGATCAACCAGGCTGTTAATGTGTACGTGCATGGCCAGTACAGTGTGCAAGTTTACTTAGGTACAGGTACATACTTTTCTTTCTTTCAACACACCGGCCATATCCCACCGAGGCGGGGTGGCCCAAAAGGAAAAACGAAAGTAGGTACATGCACACAAGTATAATTACCAGAGTACAGTAGGGCCCCACTTATACGGCAGGTTAGGTTCCAGGCTACCGCCGTACAGCGGAAACCGCCGTAAAGTGGAACACCCTTTTTTCCCACTTATAAATGCATACAAATACTAGATAACAAGTTTACACTAACATATATTAAGTTAGCAATAGAACCAGGCATCAAAAAAAAATAAAAAAAGTACAATACACACATAGTGCACTCATTACTTACCTTCACCCGGGGCTCCCATCCCGGCCAAACCCCACCCACCTAATGTCTATGATATTTAAGCATCCCGAGCGATAAAATGTTTTACAGTTCACTCATTATTTTTTTTTTTTTTAAACAAGTGGGCCCGTCTCCCACCGAGGCAGGGTGACCCAAAAAAAAAGAAACCCCAAAAAGAAAATATTTTTTCATCATCATTCAACACTTTCACCACACTCACACATTATCACTTTTTTTTGCAGAGGTGCTCAGAATACAACAGTTTAGAAGCATACACATATAAAGAAAACACACCATATCCCTCCAAACTGCCAATATCCCAAACCCCTCCTTTAAAGTGCAGGCATTGTACTTCCCATTTCCAGGATTCAAGTCCGACTATATGAAAATAACCGGTTTCCCTGAATCCCTTCACTAAATATTCCCCTGCTCACACTCCAAAGATGTCAGGTCCCAAGTACCATTCGTCTCCATTCACTCCTATCTAACAGGCTCACGCACGCTTGCTGAAAGTCCAAGCCCCTTGCCCACAAAACCTCCTTTACCCCCTCTCTCCAACCCTTTCGAGGACGATCCCTACCCCTCCTTCCTTCCCCTATAGATTTATATGCTTTCCATGCCATTCTACTTTGATCCATTCTCTCTAAATGACCAAACCACCTCAACAACCCCTCTTCTGCCCTCTGACTAATACTTTTATTAACTCCACACCTTTTCCTAATTTCCACACTCCGAATTTTCTGCATAATATTTACGCCACACATTGCCCTTAAACAGGACATCTCCACTGCCTCCAACCGTCTCCTCGCTGCTGCATTTACCACCCAAGCTTCACATCCATATAAGAGTGTTGGTACTACTATACTTTCATACATTCCCTTCTTTGCCTCCATAGATAACGTTTTTTGACTCCACATATACCTCAACGCACCACTCACCTTTTTTTCCCTCATCAATTCTATGATTAACCTCATCCTACATAAATCCATCCGCCGACACGTCAACTCCCAAGTATCTGAAAACATTCACTTCTTCCATACTCCTCCTCCCCAATTTGATATCCAATTTTTCTTTATCTAAATCATTTGATACCCTCATTACCTTACTCTTTTATATGTTCACTTTCAACTTTCTACCTTTACACACATTCCAAACTCATCCACTAACCTTTGCAATTTTTCTTTAGAATCTCCCATAAGCACAGTATCATCAGCAAAAAGTAACTGTGTCAATTCCCATTTTGAATTTGATTCCCCAAAATTTAATCCCACCCCTCTCCCGAACACCCTAGCATTTACTTCCTTTACAACCCCATCTATAAATATATTAAACAACCATGGTGACATTACACATCCCTGTCTAAGACCTACTTTTACCGGGAAGTAGTCTCCCTCTCTTCTACACAACCTAACCTGAGCCTCACTATCCTCATAAAAACTCTTTACAGCATTTAATAACTTACCACCTATTCCATATACTTGCAACATCTGCCACATTGCTCCTCTATCCACTCTATCATATGCCTTTTCTAAATCCATAAATGCAATAAAAACTTCCCTACCTTTATCTAAATACCTTAAAATATTTGTAGTCTTAATGTAGGGTCAGGAGTAAGTAAATGAGATAAAACTAATAAATGATGAGAGAGAGAGAGGAGAGAGAGAGAGAGAGAGGAGAGAGAGGGGAGAGAGGAGAGGAGAGAAGAGGAGAGAGAGAGAGAGAGAGGAAGAGAGAGAGAGAAAGAGAGAGAGAAAGAGAGAGAGAGAAAGAGAGAGAAGAGAGAGAGAGAAGAGAGAGAGAGAGAGAGAGAGAGAGAGAGAGAGAGAAGAGAGAGAGAGAGAGAGAGAGAGAGAGAGAGAGAGAGAAGAGGAGAAAAGAGGGAGAGAAGAGGAGAGAAAGAGAGAAAGAGAGAAGAGAGAAAGAGAGAGAGAGAGAGAGAAGAGAGAGAGAGAAGAGAGAGAGAGAAAGAGAGAGAGAGAAGAGAGAAAGAGGAGAAAGAGAGAAAAAAGAGAAGAGAAGAGAGAAAGAAAGAGAGAGAGAGAGAGAAGAGAGAGAGAGAGAGAGAGAGAGAGAGAGAGAGAGAGAGAGAGAGAGAGAGAGAGAGAGAGAGAGAGAGAGAGAGAGAGAGAGAGAGAGAGAGAGTGGTGGTCCCTGGTCAAGGACAGACAAGGTTATCTGCCTGATGAACTTATTCCACCTCTAAATCGACAGGATGGGACCACCTCTACTAGTAGTCAAGAGAAGGCGGACCTCTTTGCTGAACACTTTGCTACCAAAATGCAAGTTCCTGATCCAGCAAGGGACCCTCCTTGGCTAGCTGCAAGAACTGTGTCAAAACTGTCAGTGGTGACAATAAGGCAGGAGGAGGTGCATTTCCTTCTTAAATCACTTGACCAAGAAAAGGCTGTGGGCCCAGACAAGTTGAGCCCAAGATTGTTGAGAAGATGTGCAGACCAGCTAGCAGCACCTCTAACTCGCATCTTTCAGCACTGCCTAGTACAGTGTAAATGGCCCTCTCCATGGAAAGAGGCAAATGTAGTCCCTGTTCACAAAAAGAAGAGCAGAGCAGAAATCAGCAACTACAGACCAGTGTCACTCCTGTCAATCACTGGTAACATCCTTGAGACAATAATCTCAAGACAAATGACAGATTTTTTTGACTACCACTCACTACTTTGTGATCGTCAATATGGCTTCAGGAAAGGTTACTCTGCTGCTGATCTGTTGTTAAACCTCTCCACTAAGTGGCACCAGTCACTGGATGAATCAAAAGTCAGCTGTGTGGTAGCACTGGACATTGCTGGCGCTTTCGACCGGGTGTGGCACCAGGGCCTCTTAGCAAAACTTCAAGCACTGGGAATTGCAGGCTCTACGCTATGTCTCCTCAGTGATTACCTTCATGGTAGATCTCTAAGTGTAGTCCTCAATGGAACGGAATCAGCAAGGCATCCTATTGGGGCAAGCGTTCCACAAGGAAGTGTGCTGGGTCCACTGTTATGGAATGTCTACTTCAACGACCTTCTTCATCTCATCCCAGAATCACATGCATATGCAGACGACTGTACACTGACATTCACTTATCCAAGAGAAGAAATGCCAGCTGCTCTAAGCTACATCAATCACCAGCTGAGAGCTATATCAGCTTGGGGAAATAGATGGCAAGTAACATTTGCACCTGAGAAAACGCAAATGATGATCGTCTCTAGGCACCATGATGGTAATGCTGGTGCAGTAGTAAGGATGAATGGGACGATGTTGGCACCTGGAGAAGAAGTTGATATCCTTGGGGTGAAATTTGACTCCAAACTAACCATGAAGAACCATGTTGTAAATCTTGCAAACAATGGCAGCCAGGAAGCTTACAGCACTTCGCCGTATCTCGCATCTGCTTGACAGTAGGGGTTGCAAGATCCTGTACGAGGCACAAGTACGCTCACACCTTGAGTATGCTCCACTTTCTTGGTTTGCCTGCCCCCCCTCTCATCTGCGACTGCTTGACAGAGTAGAGAACAGAGCAAGACGTCTCATCTCTCGCCTGGACCCATCCTGGATAGATCTGTCATTTCAGCAGAGCCT